CATACAGGTGACCCCATTTTTCAATCCATCTTGAACGGTGATCTCGAATCTTTTGACGAGGTCTTGATGTGTGAGGTTAGCGGGCTTGATTAGGGATTGTGCTTCGTCCTGGAAGATCCCTATGTCGAGGTCTTCAATGTTGTAACACGGCGGGAAAGGAAGATCCCGGTCTCACCCGTTGGTTTGCCTTTCTTATCCCTCAGAATGACACCTCCGGGAAATTGTTCAGGGAATGGGGCATTCGCATCGAGGGTGGCCTGGGAGACCCAGAAAGAATGACCATCTTTACTGGTCAATACTACTTGGCGGCCTCGAATGATGAGGTCAGCTTCTAGGTCGGCCTATGGAATGCAGAGACGATCAGTGATGATCATACCGGAAGAAAGAATGCTACGCACCGCAGTCGGAAACTTCTCTACTGGCCAAGCAGTTTTATCCCATCCCCAACCTTCGATTACTTTTGACATATCCCCATAGATATCAGGGTTATTGAGAATGTAGTTCCGAACCAGAGTCACAACCTCTTCCACAAAGGTTGGACATCAGACTTGAGATCTAGCCAAGGGGAGAAAGCGCATACCTTTGACTGATTTTGCGTCGTCTAAAGGCAGAGAACGACGCATGCCATATTCCAGTGAATGGACATGCGAGTCTGACACAAAATTATAAGGACATAAGTGCGGCAGAATGAATCATTCACTGACCGGACATTCCGGGGATGACGATCTCATCAGGCTTAGTGTATCGAATCGCGACATTGTTGTTCCACTGTTTGAGATCGTCTGTGAAATGGCTCAGGAAAAGCGTGCCAAGCAGTTCAGAGGACGTTGCACACACCGACATTGTCAAATACTCTCTCGACCCACTCTCCCTTTACGACAAAACACCCAACCTTTGAGTTGTTCTCGTCAACTGTGTAAATCTTCTTTCCACTCTTGGGCCATGAGCACACTGCGTAGGTTTCTTGTGGGGTGAGTAATCTCTCCAGTTGTTCAACCGTGTTTTCCGCGAGATCGTGTATCGTCGACTGCAGTTGACTGGGTGACAGATGGGAGAGAACAAGTTGTAACAGGGGGGAAGGTTCCGCGACCGCAAGTGAAGCAGCTGCACCGGCGACGAGGCCGAGTGCAACGACGCTGACGAGGGACTTGGATGACCTCGACGCTCGAGGATTCTGGGATTTCTGAATGTTTTCTTTTTTCTGTTTCTTTTCCATGAAGGGCTGCTAGTCGGGATTCTCTTTCCACGTGTTTCTTATGCGCCACCAGTTGCCACGCCTTTGCCACGCCTTCGCCACTCTTCCGACTCCCATGCATAGCGCCCATATTCTCAGGTGAAGGTCAGTAATAAATCCTCCGAACTCTCATTCTAGTCAAAAGATTTCCTTGCTTCACGGATCTGTCACAGATAACTTCGAGTCCGGCGCTGGCCACGAAGAATTTCATAGCCTAGGACCGTTTTTCACTGAGAGCATAGATGCAGAGCATACCACTTTAGCTGCGCACCATGCTACGCGGCATCTAGGCCGCTACGGTCACGACGAGTCCCAAGATCTGTCTTCCGTCAGGTCGAGAGTTTCGTTTACAGAAGAGCGCCGCTAAACATATGGTTCATCTGACAGGTCGCTGATAAGATATTCATATTGGGTTAAAGGACTCAGGCATACTCGGCGCGCTCATCGTTTCTCAGAGAACGAGGGGACATTATAAAAACCGTTGGATATTCATCGATCCTTCAAGGTTCCTCTGCTTCCCTCCTATCCATTTTATGACGGGTGTCGATTGGCAATCTCCAGAGGTCATCGCACATAATGCTGGTATGTCTTCTCCTCTACTTTGGAAAGTGGACGCTCAAGCTCCACCCAGACTCATTCGGGAAATTTGTGCACGTCCTCCTAGGCCTTTACGCGTAAGAAACGAGTACTTGACGATGTCTGGCGCCCAATAATTGCTCCAAGACAGATTCGAGTGGTTCGATTCGCTTGATTTTGAATTCAACGTTCTCATCGGCGAACATAAGTTCAAATGGCCTTTGGTGCGCTCGTGCATCTGACATTGTTGACATATGCTAACCCGAATAGCACAGATTTTCTATTTTCTGAACCGGTACACGGTCTTTCTCTGCTTGATTGCATTGTAAGTTTGAACGAAATCCTCAACGATTCTGTTCAATCACGGCTTAAGCGTGTTCGTCATATGTAGAGTGGCCTCCCTCAACGTTCAACAGTGAGTTTGGAACTCGGAAGTGACATTCTGACTCTGTTTCACCATTGTGATCATCCACTACACAGGCAGATCAACTGTCAGGGCTTGTACGTCTTTATACAGGCGATGGGAAATGTTGCAGCTGGACTAGCCTGTGCAAATCTCGCCATTCGAACGTGAGCGCCCGCATAAACGCTTGCTAGCTTCCGACCTTCTCATCCTTCCAATCGTGCCTCAAGGATAGCCATCTGGAGGAATGACCTTTACGTCGTCATTGGATTGACTCTCCTCATCTTGGGACACTGGGCATTTGTGTTGCGCAATGTCACGCTTGTCAAAGCGCAGTGGGCGGAGGGGTCGGGCTGCATCATCACAAATAACGAACCTGCTCTGATAACCGGGGCGTACATCTATGTCATTGTCGTTGATTTCATCGTCATCTGTCTTATGGCCTACAAAACCGGAATACGGGTGAATGATCGTGTTCGTTTACTCAAGATTCTGCTTCTGGACGGTCTTTTATATTTCATTGTGGCGTATGTGGTTCCTCGTGACTTGATCGGGAAGGATTGATACTGAATGCACTGTGCCATAGATTTGTGGCAAACTTGTTGGGTGTCGTAAGGGCAAGCCTTCATCTCAGTTTTTCCACCTCTAAACCATAGTTCCCCAGATCTTTAGTGCCCTCAATCTAAATCCCATCATGTCGGTGATTGCAGTGGTACCTGCCACCAGTGTAGCATCGGCAAGTCATCGTTCAGGTCCTCCAACTTCTATATTTACTTACTAGGTGACTGGAACACTACTAGATCGCCGCTTGTAGGGCGGTCCGACACCTGAGCAGCTTTGAATATCGCGTAGAGGACATCGAGACCATCGTCACGTCAAACTCACAGCCTACTCTCGATAGTATTAAAGTAGAGCCTCGGCATCTAACATCCTCCCCGTTTGGAGGTGTATCTACGATCACCAGTGAGTTAATCATCTTTTGATCTTATCAGGATCAAATTTGACACACTTTACGAATTTCGTAGGCTGCTCTACCACGGAATCCGTGTAACCAAACTCAACAGAGCCATCCTCGATGCGAGTTTGGGATTGGACCCTACGCCACCTGTCTTTCGAAGCTGGAGTTCCTTTGAAAGTTCTATCACTCGCTACCACCTCGGCAGTCTCACCCCAAAGTTGAAAGCCATGACTTCAAGTAACTGTACATTGTAGTATTCAAAGGATTAGTTACGATCTTCAGCTCTTTAATCTTTCCTACGACAAATCTTTAGTGTATCACTATCAGCAAGCAGCCCAATCCACTTTCTACTACTTCCCAACTAGTATACTTTGACCAGAACAAGGAGATCCGTGAGTTGGCTGTGGGCGCTTACACTGACAGACGTCGGAGTCCAGACAGTCATGCGGCGTTTACCGCGCGGTTGCGCTGAGCAAGCACGGAAAAAGATTCTGACATAGGATGACTTGCACCTTATTCACCAACCTTTCTCTGAATCATATAATATCATGTATTCCCATTTCAAGTCAATCAAATCTCGCGTTTTGCTACCAAAACTCATCTTCAACCTTTACTCCCGCTCACTTTCTCAAATGCATTCGCAACCACCTCAAGTTCTCGTCGTAGGCCTAGGAAATCTGCCATTGCCGGGAACCCGCCATAGGTCTGTTCAAGATTTGGTACGAGATCAACTCTCTTACTTACTTACTACCTACACGCTAGTTTGGGGCAGCACGTTCTCGATGCGTTAGCTTCTCGTCTGGAGATCCGTATGTCTTCCGAGCGAAAAGGAATTAGTGGCACCGACTTGGTCATCATCGGGGAAACACCAGTTCAGCTCACACTGTTCAAATCTAGTAAACTTCTCATCTTCTCTTCTTCCCTTTATTCCTCTTGTTGACTGTAAATTCGCGTATGCAGAATCAGCCATGAACATTTCTGGTCCTTCCGTCGCCGAAGCTTTTCGAAACTCTGCCATCAAGCACACAAAGGGTCTCATTGTCCTTCAAGATTCAATGTCCCATCGCTCTGAAATAGTTTCAGCTCGTCTGGGGGGCTCTGCTAATGGACATAATGGTATTAAAAGTATCGTCGCTGCTCTTGGAGGCAAACAAGACTTTTATCGGTTCCGTCTGGGCATTGGTGAACGCGGAGGGACGGATGCTGCCGTGTATGTGATGGGCAAATTATCCTCACACGAACGTCAGTTCTGGCAGGATGAAGGGCTTGACCAAATATTGGAAGAGATCGAGAAAGTGGCGATAGTAGTGTCTAACAGTAATCACGGTTAAACGCCGGTGAGTGTTGCATTTTATCCCCCTGAAGATTCTTTACGCTTAGGGTACAGACTCCCAGGCAGATTTCAAGCGTGAAATTACCCTATGATTCACCGCGGCAAGGACGGCGGTGCGCTCAGCTTGAATGCGATAACCTGGATGCCCCTAAGGATCTCATCAATGGACATCAAACACGGACTTTAGTTGAGATACTAAAACTTGCCCGCCTTCAGCTTCAGGTCTCAGGCTTGTTGTGGTGCTTTTCACCGATAGCAATGGATCCGGAGCTTTCTTGGCTGTATTTATGCGGTCACTAGAAATAAGCCTTCAGACCACCGCGACTTTAACTGAGGTCGAAATATAAGTAGCAATGGGGACACTAATTACCATAGATAGAATTAGAATTAGAATAAATCATAAAAGGAATCTGGTTTTCAGAATGGATTACCGGCGTCCCAGTCTGAACGATGAAGCTTGTATTATATCATTGCATGATTGGTGAAAGTGCTGAATGGGTGGGTGGTGTAATTGGTAACATGCGTGAAAATTCCTTTTCCTCACGCGCTGCGTGGTTCGAGTCCCGCCTCGCCCATACTTTTGCTTTCTGCTAGTAGTTTTTCCCTGCTGCAGTTGAGAAATCCGAATCTCGTCCCGCATCGGTCAAAGCAGCCTCGGTGGTAGACAATTGCAAACATGGCTCAAAATCTGGCCTCTGGCTGAAATTTCACTACAGATAACAGAAAGCAGCTAAGTAGATTGTCGCACATGCGATGTCCTGGTCAAAATGTACTATAAATGGAGGTGCGTATCCGTGTTCGAACTCACTCGCAACACAACGACCAGCAGCCAACTTCCCTGATACCGACTGTTCATACGCAAGCACCGGGTCCAACTAAAGAAGCCGTCCTAATCAAGATCGTAAAGTTCGATTGAAGGATACGAAATGATCAAACGCCTTACCCGAGAAGGTGAATGCTGATTTTTAATGACTAGCACCTAAACCTAGTTTAGAGTGTTTGATGATAGCGGTCAAGGGGTCGTTCAGACCACCGCTCAATCCGATGCGATCACCATCTGCCCACCCCATGGCTGCCAATAACCTGAAGCCAATGTTGCTATCGTTCAGCTTGGGAGCAGCCTGAGAGAATATTTGGTCAATCATCCGAGTGATAGATGCAAAAAGAACACATACCTTTCCGACTTCATCTCCTTCTCGGTGTTTGGGCATTCTTCCTCCCTTGTGACCCCAATCTTCTTTGGCAGCAAACTCTACACCTCTCGACCTGCCCCATCTCACAACCTTGCCAATTTTTTGCTCATTGACAGCACCATAAGCACTCTTCGTCGTCTTGATTAACGTCGTATACCTCCCATCTCCCTTGCCTTTCGACACACTCTTCAAATTGAACGCCTGGGCGAGCTCGTGTATCATCTTCCTGGTTTCCTTGTTTGTCGGAGGTAAAACCATTTGCTGAGGACCTCCAATATTCTCCAAGAATCTACGGATTTCCTGAACAAGAGTGGTAGTATCTATAACTCGGTTCGGAATGGTGGTAATGGTAGGGTCCAAACTCGCAAGACGCGCTGTCACTTTTCGTCCCTTTTTCCCTCCCTTCTTCGAAGCGACTGGGTCAGCAGCTTGTAAGAGTTTGGCTAAATCGCGTTCTCGTCGCCGTTCAGCTTTCTTCTCCCGGTCTCTCTCCCAGAGCTCGGCGAGTTCAGGTGGAAGATCTTTATTCTTGTCTTTACGTTTGCGGGCCTGCGGCATGAAGTCTGCGTCTAGGTCGAAATGTCCATTGCGAATGGAGCGGAAAAGTGAATTCCTGGTTTTTCTATCACGACCTGTCAGAATGTCTTGATTTTTAGCTAGCACGTCCTGTAGGAATGGTTTCAGAGGTATCTATTAGAAATCAAGATGAAGCGCACCTCTATCTCGGCGATCAAGTCATCATCACTATCATCCGCCCATGGCTTGAATGGATTCCGATCTAGATAGGTGTCGTCATCCGAGTCCTCCAGATCTTCATAGAAATCTTGCTCCGTCGCCTTTCCTTTCCCCTTTTTGTCGCCATGTCTTTCCTGAGCTTGTTTCCGCAACTTGTCTAGTCGCGCTTGGAAGCTAGACTTTGGGCTAAAACCTTCATCTTCATCGTCATCGTCATCGTCATCGTCACCGTGGTCCCATTCCAAACCTTCTTCTTCATCTTCACCAATCATTATCCGTTCTTCCAATTCAATAACTGCATCTTGATCATCTTCATCGTTATCTTCCGACTCCGCGCTGCTACCGACACCTCCACCCAGCCCTGCAGAATCTTCTTCCCTCATCCTTCTTTCATCGTCCAAATCATCCATCGTCATAAACCCTCGATTGATCCCCTCCACAAAAGAACTCATTGCAGCTGTATCCATCTCGAGTTCAGGATCAACCTCCATACCCTCGGCACCATTATCGCGACCCTTGCCCTTCCTAGATTTGAAGACGGATACTACGCGCAGAGTTCCGTCTTTTTCAGCTCGGATCTCTTCTCTCTCGATTTCTTCCTTTTCCTCATCCTCCGAGTCAGCTCCCCAATCAACATCCGAATCATCTCGACCTCCCCATAGTTGCGCTTCAGATACTTCCACCCCTCTCGAAGCAAAGGAGGATTTTCCTCGTTTCTTCTTCAACCATGTATTTCTCTGTCGCATTTTCATTCTCGCGGGCGTCGATTTCTTCTGTATGAATGTGAACAGAGGCGGTTTAGCCATTTTATTCGATTGAGGTGTGCCGGTTGAATCAAAGTCGTCTGGACTAGCGGATGACGACGCTGTAGCGGAGCCGTAAAACGAAAATGTAACCGAATTGACTGGGGGTGGCTCCGGAATTCCGGGTGCAGATTCTCCTATAGGTAAGCCAGTGAGAACTGAGATTATCGGGGCTATTGGTGGCGGGGTAGACCGGCTTTGTACGTGACTAGGAACAGGTGTGATTCTGCCAGAACGGGGATGAGGAGCGTCGTAGACAATAATGTCTTCCTCTGGAAGCCCCAACACTTTGTCACTAGTTGCGGCTGCATATGAATGAGGGTTGGTAGGAGCCGAATCAATGAAGAAAGACGGGGATTCGGCAATAGGCTTTGTATCGTCTAGATCCATGGTCGCGATCGTAGATGAGACCTCTGAAATTTCTGTGGTGGATACAGAGCCTTCATCTATGGTTTGTTCCCCTTCGGTACCGGTTGCCGAGATATTCGGTTCAGTTGGAAATCCAGAGTAGACAGGGTCCACGTTATGCGATGTGCTAAAAGTTATTGAAGGAATTTCCGTATCCTGGTTGATGGTAAGAACTTCGTTTTGAACAAGTTCCATGGTCGGCGTTATCTCGATGTCCTTGTCATCCTTTTCAGTAACACTGCTTGAAGCTTGGTCGAGGAAGGGCGTCCGAGCTTCTTGTACCGACACTGATTCGTTGACATGGGCTGTTGCCGTTGTTGCACCGACTGATTGCGGAACAGTTGGAGATTCGATGGTAACTTCGGCAGGAGGATCTTTTGCAGTAGAGGACGGCTGTCCTGTTGCTTCCTGTCGTGACTGCGGCCTAGCATACGTTCCAGTGAAAGTCTCTTCTACATCCATTCTGTCAATTTTCGTTACGGCGGAAGCAGATTTCTCAACAGCTTCCTGAAAGCTGGCTATATCTGCAAAATCGACTTCCTCGAGTCCTTCTGCTTCACCTGCATTTTCTTCTCCAGATGATTCAACAACTCCGTTGAAATCTGAGGCAAATACTTGGGCCACTCGATCTGCAGTCGGGACATGTTCCTCTTCCTCTTCTCCTGTATAAGGAAAAATGATGAGTCCATAACACATAGAAAAGAGGTAAAATTCTCACCAATATCCTCTGTTACTGATTTCAAGATTTCCTCCTCCTCCATGAAAAGAAATCGCTGTACACCGGGAACAAAATTGATGACCTTTAACAATGGCCTATCTTCATTGAGAAGCCTGGATAACGGTACACCGACACCACGGCCTTTGCCTTTCCAACCACCTCTCTGGAATATTTGACCACGCCCTCGACCCCGGCTAGCTTGATCTCCATCGAATTGGCCTCTCCCCCTCCCTCTCCCTCTCCCTCTTCCGCGACCAGTTGGCGTATTATATCCCGAGCCTGAAATGGCACCGTTATTCGGAGTCCGCATAGGAGAGCTATACTTTCCTCTGCCTCCTCCTCGGGGTGAGTTATGTCCGGAGCCTGAATCATCTGTAAAAGGACCGATATAAGATACAGGGAAGGGTGAGTTCATCGCTGCATACTTTGAGGCCACATCTGCAAGATGAAATCTGTTTCGGAAGCTGGATTATATCCTCCTCTTCCTCCAAACCCTCTACCACCTTTTCCTCTATCTCCTCTTCCTCTTCCACCCCCTCTAGGTGAAAACTTTCCATACGGTGACCCATTCATGAAACCTCCACGACCCCCTCTGAAGGTCATGTCATTTGTGCCGTTGTCCTGACGTTTTTTAGGCATATATGAGTCTTCTCTAGATGGGTTGTAAGATTATGTAGGTTGGAAGGAGAAAAATGGTCGATCGACGATGACGATGACTAGTTGCCAAAAATCCGGATGCGAGATCACGTCCCCCATTTGGAATGAGTTTCTCACAGGTATTGATGCGAAGTTAGCCAATAGTCAACATTACTTAAGATCTCTTAGAATTCCAGTAAAGGATTGCGAGAGGGTACGTGTGTATAACTAGCGCAGTGAGCATGATACTCAAACTCCAAACCAGATCTCTTTGATCAAGTCAGCGGCTCTTTCCGCAATAATATACGTTGGTGCTTGTGTATGTGCAGTCGGTATCTTCGGCTGTCCACAGTGCAGCGGTAATCAGCCAGTTGTTTACCGCCGAAGAAAGAAAAAATCATAACTCACAAATACACTAGCATCCACCACTCTCAACCCCTCAACCCCTTTCACTTTCAAATCTGGGTCCACCACTCCCCACTCCGCATCTTTCGGCGACATCGCAGCAGTTCCGATCGGATGGAAAATCGTGGCAGTGTTCTCAATGATATACTCGTCTAATTCTTCGTCTGTCGTCGCATTGGTCGGCGTAGAGAGAATGAATCCGTTCCAGGCTGGTGAAGAGAGAAGCCGATTGACGCTGCGGATCGCTTCTCGCATGATGAATTTGTCCAGTTCAGATTCGAGGAGGTGGAAGTCGATGAGCGGACTATCTAATGGGTTTGAGGAGTTGACTGTTATCGCCCCACCTGTATCGAATCACCTAATCAGATCGAATAGCCATTAAGTAGAGAGATTCGTACTTGAGAGTGGGGAGACAGTGGCGGTACCAACAGTCATGAAATTGCCTGTCGGCGGTACGGGTCCAACAAACCCGTTCTAGAACGAGTTAGTACGGGACGATCCGACTAGAGCTAGTTGAACACATACGATGAAAAGAAGTTCAAAATGTGCACTATTATTGCCTGAGGCGGGATCACCAAAACGATTAAAAATATCTGCACTTTCATTGACTCGGAACCAGCCCAACATTACAAGGGGCGGATCGACCAGTGGACCCGTTTTGTTTAACGTCCACTCGT